TGAGCTGTAACTAAGGCCAGCTAGCGTAATTTGGGACAATATGTCTAGTATATTGTTGTAATTACTCGGGAGAGAGTTACGACAGTCAGAGTGCTCATGATCGATAGAGAAGACTTGGGCAAATTTATAGCAACCATAGCGGAAAGGAATTCGAAATGAGGGGAAATCAGAACCTTAGACCATTCCTATTCTTGCTTACAACCTGTTTATAGCTAGTTCTTAATTTCTGCATTTTTATTACGAAATATTTAGTTAATAAACACCCAATTTGTTAATCAAATATCTTTGAAGATTGAATACGTGAATTTCTGTGAGTCCAATGGTTGTGATTGATAGGTTAATTCCATGTGGGATTCGATTCCGAACTTGTTAACCGGAATATATTTGCAGCGACAGCTTTGTCCTTTTTATAAGGCATAGTTGGGCGTGATCAGTGGTCTATGTAATCAATAAAGAATTTCCATGGCAACTACATTTGATAACTAAATGAATCGGTCAAATGTATCCACGACTCGAACTGGTAATTTGAAGGGGAGCTTTGGCGTAACTGATAAAGTTGTTGTCATGTAACTAGGAGGAGGTCACGGGTTTGAGCGGTAGAAACGACCTCTTGCAGAAATACAGGGTAAGACTGCATACACTAGATCCATGTGGTCCGGCCCTTCCCCAGACCCCGCGTATATAGGGAACTTAGTGCATCAGGGTGCCCTTTAATATATTCGCGACCTGTCCTACTAATTTATGATTTGAAATACCTAAGAATCTTGATCTTTTTGGTTGTTTAACACTTAAGCAATTGCTGGAAGGAAAAAAGTGAGGGAACGTAGTGCCATAAGTTGAAGCTCATCATTAAAATGTATAATAATCATTTCATCCTTTTATAAGCTATAAAATGATTTGCGAAAACCTAATTACAAGGGAAATTTAAAATGAAGGAAGCATTAATATGCATTTTAGAATTCTAGGATGTATAGTTTTGAATTATTTTTCTATTTCTGGGAGACTGATAACTCTATATTAAAGAAAACAACATTATATTTATGATTCGTAGTGTTTAGGAGTTTGAAATCAACATAGATTTTATCTTTATAATTTCAGGTTGTTTAAATTTTTTGCTAGATCACGTCTAAAAAATTTCCGTCAATTATGTGCCTAGCACAATTCAAATACTTATGTTAAATCCATTAACGTCTTCAATATTTTTCAATAGGTATCTAGATTGGAGCCACCTGTCCATAAAAACATTTAAAGGCTGAGATTAATTACAACATTCCTCTTCCTCCTATGTTGCAATTAAAAATAATGAAAAAATTATATTGGATGGTCGCTACCAAAAATAATAGCCGGCAATATATATATTTTATACATAATCAATATATATTTTTGTCACACATCATATTGAGGCAGGATAGATGAAATTGAGACTTTCTTCTGGTGTCTTGTGTGATAAAAAAGTCCCAATAAAACTCAAAAGTAAGTCCTACAAGGCGGTAGTCAGGCCGTCTATATTGTATGGGGCTGAATGTTAGCCAGTCAAGAGCTCCCATGTCCAGAGGATGAAAGTACCAGAGATGAGGATGTTGAGATGGATGTGCGGGCACACAAGATTAGATAGGATTAGGAATGAAGTTATTCGAAACAACGTGGGTGTGACCCCAATTGAGGACATGACGCGGGAAGCGAGGCTTAGATGGTTTGGACATGTGAGGAGGCGAAGCACAGACGCTCTGGTCAGGAGGTATGAAAGGTTGACATTGGAAGGCCTAAGGAGAGTAGAGGAAGGCCGAAGAAGAATTAGGGTGAGGTGATTAGACAAGACATGGCGCAACTTCAGCTGACCGAGGACATGACCCTTGATAGGAAGGTGTAGAGGTCAAAGATTAGGGTAGTTAGTTTAGTGTTCTCCCTATCATACCGGTAGTATTATCACATACTTTATTATTCTGTTGGCATTAGATTTCTATGACTACCTGTCATTTCTTTCATTACGATCTCCTGATTATTTAGTTGTTATTTATGTTGCTTTTACATGGCTTTTCACTGTTGTGATTCTTGTTTTCCTCTTCTTTAATGTGGTGCTTATACTTTTCTGAGCTGAGAGTCTATTAGAAACAACCTCTCCATCTCCATAAGATAGGGGTAAGGCTGCATACATACTTCCTTCCCCAAATTCCATTATGTAGAATTATGTTGGGTCTGTTGTTGTTGTTGTTATTTTTGTATATTTGACTAGCGAATGTTAGTATTATTTTTAGCCGATCATGCAAATGTGTTGTCCAAAAATAATAGTTGTTAGTTAGCATTGCGAATTGGTTCCAACAGGACTATTTATATCTAATGGAAAGAAGAAAAATTAATGGCCCAAGAGTGGCGAGTCCATTGATGAAAAGGTCCGTCTAACAGTAATTTGGTAAAAAAGTAACGGTAATATAGGAATATTAGACAGTTGATCTCAATCTTTTTTTGCCGTCCACTCGTCAATCGTCACGCACAATTTTTCTCTCCTTTATTCTTCGAGGTACACTCAAACAATAGCCCTAAGGCCATCCGCAACCTTTGCACCATTTTTTTTATTTTAAAAAATGGTATAAACATCAAAATAGTGCAAAGTAACTCCAGCCCATTACATCATTTTTTACACCAAAAAATAATATTTTTTTTTATATTCTTCTTTCTCTTCTATATTATATTATTTTCTTTATAAAACAAATCCTCTCTTTTTTCTTTTTTACATATTTATCCCATATAATTCATATTTCTTTCTTATATAACCATTTAATATAAAATTATTTTATACCTTTAATTTTTAAATAATATACATTACAAGCAAATATTATACATTATACATATTAATGTATAATTCAAATAAAAATACAATCACTGATGAGATATAATTAAATAAATATTACATTATGGTAAAATTTAGTTTAATTTTTACATAAATATTCAACTTACAAGATTAGTATGTTGCTCCCATAAATGCTATATTAAAGCATTACGAGTGCAAAATGAGCATCTTTATCCTTAATTTTTTTGTGTCGAGCTAAAAATTGTTCAAATTGATAATTTTCATCTGCTACCATTTCTACTGTTGGAGTTGGACCTTCCCAAGCATCTTGAATTGGTGCATTAAGATCACGTTCATCCTCGATTATCATATTGTGCAGTATAATACATGTAATTAATATATCATAGAGCACTTCTTTCCTCCAAAAACGTGACAGCCCTGCAATAATTGCAAAACGAGATTGCAAAACTCCGAATGCACGTTCAATATCTTTTCGACACGATTCTTGTTTCATCGCGAAATATTTCTTCTTTTGAGAATGTGGCACACAAATAGTTTGCACAATAGTGTAGACCATTTTGGATATATACCGTCGAATAAATAATAACCCACATCATATTCTTTTCATTGAATAACATAATGGGCGGGAAGAGCAATACCTTTAGCAATATTAGAAAATAAATGTGATGAGTCTAAAACATTAATGTCACTAAATATTTATTTTTATGATAATCAATGAACATTGTGTTATTTATTAGCAACATATTATATTTTAGTTTTGCACTTTTTATTTTTTTGATGGATATATATTTTTATACAATCCTTTCTTATAATAAAATTAACTTAAAATATACGAAAATTAATTTATAAAAATTATACACCAAAATTAAAATAACATTAATATTATAAAGATATTATATAAAATTATAATATGTTAAATTAAAAGTGTTATATAATAAATGATAATATTAAAATAATGGTGAATAATAATAGTGTTGATAAATAGCGTTACACCAAATTGGATGTAACACTATTCGCACACCAAGATGGTGTAAGAGATGGTGTTGAGTTGGAGCAAAAAACACCAAATCTTATAGCCCGTATGACCAAGCTGCAAAAATCAGCTTATTTTGAGAAGTACTTTTCTTCAAAAGTGCTTTTCTCAAAAATACTTTTGGTGAGAAGCAATTTGTGTTTGACTAATTAGTTTGAAAAACACTTCTGAGCAGCAATTAGTGTTTGGCCAAGCTTTAAAAAACTGCTTATAAGTGTATTTTCTCAAAAGTGCTTCTAAAAAAATGCTTTTGGAGAGAAACTACTTATTTCTGCTTCTCCTCAAAAGCACTTTTTTCCTTTCAAAAGCTTGGCCAAACACCTTACTTTTTGGCCAAAAGTGCTTTTGGCAAAAAAAAAATAAATAAATAAAATTTTTGGCCGAAAAGAAGCTTGGCCAAACATGCTATTATACTAAAATGGTATTTGGTGTTAAAATTGATGTTGGGTCGAAGATGGTCTAAAAAGAAAAATCACTTATTTTCATAACATTTTCCAATCTGTAAACACCTAATCTCTAATTTAGATCCTCACTGTTTCAACAGGAAACTGAATTGACGTCAAGTTTCCCGCAGCCCCTTTTTTTGTTTCAAATTTTCCTTTTAGTAATTGTTTTGATTTTGTTTCTCTTTAAAAGTTTCTTCATTTGTTNTTTTGATACTCATAAAATTGATTCAAGCCTTTGAGCCCTAATTTACAAGGTTAGTCTTTCTTTTAATTTACAAGGTTACTGTGATCTTTTTTTCTCAAAGCCAAATTTGACATCCGTTTTATCCTTTTTTTTAATTGTACTTTTTTCTAAAAGAATAATTTATTGTATATAATTTACTAAACACTTAAGATAAATAGACATATAAATTTAATTAATCGACTATTTTGAATATCCAAGAGTATGAAATGATCTTCTAAGCATTTACAATTAGAAAAAAATGAGCTTATGTAAATTTTTATGTTTTATTTAGAGATCTCTTTTATTATTTATTACTCTTGTAGGAAATCATCATTCATCATAAACTAAATAATACTACACTACAAAATCAAACTCGCATAAAAAAGTTTCAAATTAGTCCAAAAAATGCAAGGAAAAAGAGTCCATATGCTTCTATTTAGTAGTATAATTTAGCATCTTTTGACTTAAAAACATTTTTTATTTAACCAAAACCAAATTGATAAGTCAAAAATCCACCCAAACACCCTCTTTTTGTAGGTAGGATGCACTGATAGTAACTCCACGTTATCTTATTAATCTCTGTTACCGAAGTTAACTCCGGTGGTTCTATCTCTGTTCACTTCGCCCGCCGGCGTCCAATTCTCCGGTAAACTCTACATTCTCCTCCTTAAGATTCAGTCTTTTACTTCTTGCTCTGAGATTCTGATTACAAAAGTTCGAATTCAAAACTACAATTTGCGGAAGTATGTAACATCTTCAATAATTTAAGGTTTGACAAGCTCAGGACTCAAAGTAGTGTTTAGGGTTTTGACATATAGGATTGAATTAGGTAAATTTTTTTTTTGGCATGAAGCATTGCTTCTATTAAATCATTAAATGTAGGGAAGAAAATGCAGATTTATTTGCTGAAGCTACTGTTTTGAATGATGTGATTAGGTCTTGTAAGTGACTGGTTATTTGATGAGATGAGCTGCGTTCGCATAAACAGTTGTCATCCTGCCTGCGATTTCAATGCTTCCTTTCCATCACTCACTGCTCCAAAAAGGACTTCAAAACTGACGACACTATCTTCAACTTATCTGGGCACAAGACTCCCGAAAATCTCCCTTAATGCGAAAGTAGGTGTATACAGACCGCAGCTTTGCAGAACTGTATGCTTATTTGGTGGCAAGGGGAAGGCAAGCAATGACAATGAGGTAATACTCTTCTGGAAGATCATTCATTTGTATGTGTGTCGATTAATTTTTATATATTTACTCGGAGGGAATAACTAGCGGTGAACAAAGAAACCATGAAACCACCCAAATTCTCCAAAATAAACCAAAGCAAGTCACAACAGATTGATGGTTTCTTTTACTGGTTGAGTTTGTTATTTTCAAACTTATGAAATGCTTAGGTTTGTTTTATTTGTAAACAAAAATAACTATGCCTCAATCTCAAGCGAGTTAGGGTCAACCATATGAATTTTCATATCCATCTCTCTCCATTTCGACTAATTTTATTCCAATATCCCATAATTTGGATTCATAGAATATGAAGTTCTTTTCATTTTTTTAATAAGAAAATCTCGTTCAAGATTAAATGACCCCTAGCAAACACTAGATCTAATATAAGCTTACAGACATGACTAAGCAAATACCAGTAAGGAGTTGGTATCGCTTATATGGATTTGTTTTTCTTCTATTGATTGTGTAGATTCATCATTAATTGACTAGTTTCACTCAAATTATCACCCTACCCGAACCCTCATTTTTCATTTGGGCTTGGGTCAGGCCATGCGAGCAAGCTCACTAAGACAAGTTTAGGTTTATTTTATTAGTAAAAAAACACAAAAAGAGAGTTCCAGTTATTTGAGCACATAGGTAAAAGGGAAATTAAAGTAAGTTGCTCCCATGGTGAGGGCGGTGGTTGCCACATGCTAACAGCGAGACATAGTGGGATCATTTCCTTCGTCGGTTCTCCACAAGCATCAAACGACAAGCTTCAAACTGCTGATAAGGACAAGGGAAATATGACTAATTAATTAAAATATTCTAGTTTATGTAAAATTATCGAAACCACCCACAAACTAATCCATCCAGAAGGAAGGTTTCCCACTAGATACAATGGTTTCAATTTTATTCTGAAGGAACGGTTATATATGGTTTGGTTTTTGTTTTACTTTGAGATTCTCCAAAGCCGCGTACTTACGTAGTTACTTATCACAAGAAAGGGAAGGAGATGCCCCAAAACAGCATACACCTCTAGGATACCACTCCAAGATGAAATACAGTGGCGGATCTAGCCTTCTGACAACGCGTTCAACTAACTCATAACTTTCATTGCAGAGCATAAATTTATGTGTTAAAATTTACTAAAATTGCGACAAATAGTAGATATGAATCCATAAATTGAAAAATTCTATGGGTTCAACGATAAGAATATAAAAATTTAAACCCATAGAATTTAAATCTTATATCCGCCTTTGATGAAAGAGATGGGGTGTAGGTTCTGCCCATATATTTGCTTTCCTTTATTTCCTTTGCACTTTCTAGGATCATTTGGGTGTAAAGCTATCAATTTAACTAAGATAAGTGCAAGGCGTTCTTGCATATTCTTACGTATACTTATGTAGTGTGGACCCCAGACGTGCTCTCTCCGATCATGCCATCATGGCCCTTGGCTGTGAAATGAGGAGGGAACTCTAAAACTTGTGGGTCTAAGATAGGAGTAATTGCAAGGCCACTATTGCATGCATCTTAGTATAGGCCTCAGTTGGACTCTTAGTTATCGTGAGTCTTGACTGAGAAATAATGAGGTTCGTCTAAGAACGCTGAGGGTTTTCTACATATATTGATAGCCTGCATTCAGGAAGGCACACAACCTTTATATTCCATGCACATGACCACTGACCAGTTTTACTATGGAACGTTTTCCATTGTCAGGCTTCTTGGTTGCTTCCTAGTAGAGCTATCAAAATGGCCTGACCCTCACGGGCTATGAATTTTGACGGGCTAAGACGGGCCAGTCTTTCATTTGAAAGGGCCTTAAAAATGCCAGTCCAGCCCTAAGTGGGCTGCGGGCCAGATTGGACCTTCAGTTTATTTATTTTTTAAAAGTTATAAAACATGTCCAATATAATCATTACCGCTTGCTGCTGCATGCACCTTTTCAGGTCTTTTTTGATAGTTGAGATAGCGAGAGAGTATAGATTTCTCAGAGGATGATTGTCATAAATTTATGGTTACCTTTTTGTTATGGCTATCAAGAAAGGCTCACATTTCTACCGTTTCATTGATTAAATAAAGTAGATGAAATATGCAAAAATGTTAAACTGACTCTGCAACATCGCAATGATATGCACTTTTATCGTGCGTATAGACTAAGATCAGAATTCCCTAACCACTATCCTTTGGAAACTAGAGATTCCAGGCCTGTGAGACCAGAAAGAATAGAATAGTTTTTGACACAGGATATTCTAAGGATGAGATGATTAGGCACATTAAATTACCTACAAGTTTCTGTGTAATCAAAATCTAGGAATACAAGTGCAGGAAGAAACACAATTAAAGAAAAACGAACGAAAGCAAAAGATAACATTGGTTGTAGGCTACTGATTGCATTTAGCCTTGGTTCTAAGTACATTTTACTATTTTCCTTTTACCTTTTTCTGAAATATATTAATTATTTCTACTAGGCCTAACAGGCTGGCCTCGGCCCAGCCTCAAGGGCCGGCGGGCTGATTATGGTTGTGCTTAGAAGCCTCAGTTCTAAATGGGCTACTATAACCTTAGCCCACCCCTACCCAAGTAACGGGTGGGGTTGGGCCGGCCTCACGGGCCAAGCATGACGGCTCTACTTCCTTGTGTGTATCAAGAAACATCAACTGGCCAGTTGTGACTCCCAGATCTGCTAAACATAATCCTCTAGTATATGGTTATTCTCATTTTCTTCTTATTTCTACGTAATTACTCATCTTTATTGCTTTTGTTTTCCATAGCATGGAATCTAAAAACGATGAAGACAGTTAAAAATAATCTAGGAGAAAGGTGAAAGAAGACAATGCCTCTTTCAACCCTTTTAATTGCCTAACCCTTTTTCTACCTATTCCTCGGTAATGTCATAGTGTAGTATCTTGCAATGCGGCTTACTACAACAGCAACGAAAGCAATGCCTGAAACCCAAACTAGTCGGATCGGCTATATGACCTAATGGAGCTGCTTTATTAAGTCGCCAATTACTTGGTATCAGCTTGACAGTTGTCTTGTCTCTCACAAAATAAGGTAGGTTAAGGAGTGGGCAACCCTTTGCTGATGATACGACCTTTCATGTACAGAATGCTAGTTGGCACCCAACATTGTTTAGGTTATCTATCCAATATGTTGCACATGTCATGTGCCCATAACTTATAAGTTATGGTGTATTATTTTTAGTTGCTTTAAGAAAATCTTAACATTTCTTATAAAGTTGTCTTTTAAGGTTTAGTCTATTTTTTCCTCTTATTTTGTTTTATTTGGGTGTTTGAATTTGCACAGGGAGCGTATATAATCTGCTTCCCATTTGATCATCTCACATTTTTTCTTCTCCTTATTTTTTCAAAAGAAATCTGTTTCTTGTTACAATGTGTTGTGTGAATTGTTTCAGCTCGTCATTTATCCTTGCGGAGTAGATATATTGTGCTGCAATTTTAAAGCTAACAACAGATGACTCTTATCTCCTTGAACGCACACAGCATATGCATCTTTAGCTGGTTTTCTTTCCCATAAAACTGCATAAAACATGAGTATAAAGTAGCTCTTAACATTCTGTTGAAAATCATGAGTCGAGCAAAATAAGCTTATGGATGTTTAACATATGAGAAGATAACACCTCAGTTGGCACTACTCTCTGACCAGGCTTCTCCTTGGAAAGCTCTTGAAAAAGCCATGGGAAATTTGAAGAAGGAACCGTCAGTTGAGGATTTATTGAAGCAACAGATTAAAAAACAAGAATATTATGAAGGCGGAGATGGGGGTGGCGATCGCCCAGGTGGTGGCGGTGGTGGAGGCAGTGACGGTTCTGGTGAGCCAGATGAAGGTATTTCTGGGATCTTGGATGAGCTAGTACAGGCTGTCTTGGCAACTATGGGCTTCATATTTTTGGTAATTGTCCTGTCTCTCTATCTCTCATCGATATTTTGTGCACAGATATATGTGTACTAAAGGAGCTCACTGTTTATTTTCCTCTGGTGGTGTTACCCTAAAAGGCAATCCTTGCAGGTCAACTTAGCTAGTGATTTGTTATGTTGTTGGCTTATCCAAAACTTATTCTAACTTAACTAAATACCTTTTTGTCTAAACCATTTCTGGTAAGTCATGGACCAGCTAGAGTTGTAGCGTGACCGACTGAATAAAGAGGAACAGCCTATGATAATCATGTGTTTTTTTTATGTTTAGCCTTTGATAGATCTTCGGCCAGATCTCTCATCTGATGGGAGTGGAATGCTTCAAATAAAGAAAATGTCTTGAAAGGGTTTTAAACCAACCACAAGTGTCTGCTTGTAGTAGTAATAGCACACGAAGCAAGTTGTTAACTGTTACATGTAGTTTGCTTACTCTTGACTTTAAAGTTGTACTTCATTTCAGTACATCTACATAATTGAAGGCGAGGAGATCAATGTGTTCACAAAGGACATTCTCAAGTTTATCTTTCTAAGGCAAAAGAGTATTCGTCTAGGGCGCACAATTGCACGGTGGGAAAGCTACTTCAGCAGCCTGACTGAGAAGAAAGAAGATCCATATTGGTTGGAAAGTGAAATTATTAATACAACTACTTGGTATGATAGCCCTGCAAAGTATAGGACCATTCTCAGGAGGTTAGAATCGAGTTCTTATTATTGAAAGCAAAACCGTTCAACCTTTTCTATCTCTCAAGTTTTGCAATAGTTTAAACAATCTGCTGTAATCACAAATGTCATTTTAATCTTCGGAGTTTTGCTTCATCAGTAAATTTCAAGTGTTTTTATTTCGGGTTCGTGTATGATTCAGAGATCATTTATCTCTTATTTTGTTGCAAATAGGATTGGGGAGACCCGTGTTTATGTTCCTCTGAATAATTTGTTCGTCTTATTCTTCTGGTAAAAGTTGCGTGCTTTTCTAGTTACAAAATACTAGGAATTAAAAGAAAAAAGAATTGGTTTGTATAAAGTGCTGGCTTAACATATAGGAAGATTTAGCTCCAACATTATCTCATCTTTCAGCTATAATGTTCTTTGACTTGATTAAATCTCAATTTTATGATCATAATTTGGTGGCGGTTATAGGCGGGGTAAATAAATTTTAGCTCATAATTGATTTTCATTTAACAAGATCAAGTTATGCCTCCTATATTACAAGAAACTTCTAGCGCAATAATTATTTGCATTTATTTCTTTACTAATTTCTGGAGCACGTGTATTTCATGTCAATTAATATAAATTTCTTAAACAATATAAATAATATTAAATATGTTTGTCATGAGTAACATGAATTTTAAAGGAGAAAATGCAAGCTCAAACTGATGAATAGTAAGCATATTCGACCGACTTAGTTGTTGAACGCGAAATGATTAAGTTATGCAAATATGTAATATGATCGTATTTTGCTTCATACTTTCTTATAAACAATATTCTTGATGTATATATGTTCCATAAAAGGTCAAATTGTAATTTCTCATTAACTAATTATGTTGAGTTCTTTTGAACTATTGAGAACTTTCCCCTTTTTACTTATAAAGAAAAGAATTTTTTTTTTCCATTTCAACCAAAAACAATCTTGCCCAAAAATAAATAATGACACTAAAAAGTAACAACCACCAAGGGTTCAAGCGAAACTTTTCATTGCTGAAGGTGGTAAATCAACTTGACATTATGATGAAAAATAAAGCAGCAGAAAATTAATAAAGCCTCGTTATCGTATGCCTTAACTCTTGGGTTGTTGATTTTGACTTTTGAACATGATGCTTTCAAACTTCTCTAATATGTTATATTTCCGTATAGGTCCGCCTTCTTTTTTGCCTCATTCAAGAGCTTTTCATATCCAGCCTCAGTGTTTCTAGTCATCTCCTTTTGTACTCTACTTAATCTCTACCTTCGTATTTTTGCGCATATANACAAGCCAATAATAATTAATTAACTTAATTACTCATTTTTGTATTTTGAAATCGTAATTTCCTTCCATTAAATAATAAAAGATATAACTTACAAAGTAAATGATAATATTTTCGCAACTAAAATACTGAACAACCCATAATCACTCCCAAAATCTGATGTCACAAGTGCACGAGCATCAACTAGGGAGTAAAATAAAATACAGCATATGTCCAGAATATAAATTAGACAGGAAATATAAATAACTCTGAAGGGGACTCTGCTGGCTGCAGATCGTAATATGGAATGCAGCTCACCTAAGTCCCCCCATTAATCACTTCTATGCACCCACAAGGCCATTAGACATATATGTGCCTGCACAAAAATGTGCAACAAGTGTGGTATGAGTACGTAAATCAACGCGTATCCAGTCTAACATCGAAGAAGTAGTGACAAGGGGTCGACTCCGACACTTACTATGAGCCAACAATAAAATACTGATATTATAATTAAGCATGGATTGTATAAAACAATTGAAAACTCAATAATAAGAAGTAAGTAAATAATTCTTTTATTAATAGGAAATTTCCAAATTTATTTTCGTCATTTAACAATTTATATCTCAAGACGATGAAGCAATAAAATTATTATTAGTTCCAAAGATTTATCATGCGTAAATCATGCCGAGGTCGTGCGACCCGATCCAACATATAAATATAAATTATGCACTTCCAAAGGTCGAACGGCACGGACCATAGATGCATCTATCTGCTACCGAGGCGTTCGGCCCGTTCCACAAGAAGAGAACATACATTAAAACAACCAATTCAAGATTCATTAAGGGTTAATGTTCAAAGAAATATCAATTCTCATTAACGGTCAAGTGACTCGTCCAAAACTCAAGTAGATGAGGTTTAACCTTTTACGATTTCTTTGTCAAGTTCCAATATCTTTTAAGCAGTTAAACTAATAAGTAGGTTGCAAAAATCGCAAGTATAACATGATTTGGGTCCTAGACTATCCGGACATAAGCATAATTAGTAGCTATGTACGAACTCTCGTCATCTCGTATGTGTGTAGCCCCCACAATTAAGAGCATATATGAATTCAATTCACCTATGGGGTTAATTCCCTCTTACAAGGTTAGAACAAAGACTTACCTCGCTCCGAAGTTCCATAGCCGGCTCCCAAACCTTTCAAACAATAGAAACCGATGCCCAACGCTCCAAAACTAGTCAAATAAATGTGCAAATTCATAAATATATACTCTAATACTCATTATAATCCAACTTGCAATAGTTTCTAACTCCCCTCGAAAAGTTGATAAAAATCATCCTCGGGCCCACGTGCCCGAATTCTGAAAATTTATGAAGATGAACATTACCCATAACCTCACGAACTCAAATATATAATTTATTTTCAATTCCATGCCCAAATTCGTGGTTAAAAATTCAAAATACCAAATTTTTAGGTTTTCTACCAAAACCCCAAATTTTCATTAATTTTCCATGAATTTTCATGTTAAATTCCATATATAATCCATGTATTTAACTCACAATGTGCGGGAATTACTTACCTCATAATAGATAATGAAATGTCCTCTTCAAAAACTCCAAAAATCGCCCAAGCCGTATGAAGGATAGGTGAAATGAACCCAAACCTGCTTTAAAACCAATTTGCCCAGCTACTTCCTTCTTCGCGTTCGCGTCACCTTGGCCGCGTTCGTGAAGCCTTGTGACCACTACCCTTCGCGTTCGCGGTCCATCAGCCGCGTTCGCGAAAGCCAAACTGCTCCAGGCCCCCGCTCCCTCTTTCTTCTTCGTGTTCGTGACCCTTGTGTCACGTTCGTGAAGGCTTGCCCGGCTTCTGCCTCGCGTTCGTGTCCATTGCCTCGCATTTGCGAAGGCCAAAACCCAGCAGCCTCAAAATTCCTTTTTGCAAACGCGCGACTCCCTTCGCGTTTGCGAAGGACTAAACCAGAACCAGCAACAACAATTCCAAAACAGCTAAACTTGATCTAATACCATACACCCGAGGCCCCCGAGACCCTGTCCCATCACACCAACCTGTCCCTAAACATGACACGAACTTGCTCGAGGCCTCAAATCACATCAAACAGCGTCAAAGCCATGAACTGCATCCCATTTCAATCTTAATGAACTTTAGAACTTCAAACTTCTACATTCAATGTCGAAACCTATCAAATCACGTCCGAATGACCTCAAATTTTACACACAAATCACAATCGACGTTATGGACCTACTCCAACTTTCGTAATCGGAATCCGACTCTGATATTAAAAAGTCCACCCCTGGTCAAACTTCTCAAAAACCTTCAAATTTCTAACTTTCGCCAAATGACCCCGAAATGACCTACGAGCCTCCAAATCCACATCCGGACACAATCTCAATACTAGAATCATCATACGGATCTATTACCGGACTCGGAATCCCAAACAGACATCGATAACATCAAAATATACTTCAATTGAAATTTATGAAATTCTTACAAAATGCCAACTTTCCACAATAGGGGCCGAAACGCTCCTGGGTCATCCAAAACTCGATCCGAGCATATACTCAAATCCAAAATCATTATCCAAACCTGTTGGAACCTTCAAATCCTGATTACGAAGTCATTTACTCAAAAATAAAACCTTAGTCAATTCCTCCAATTTAAAACTTCCGAAATTAGAATTTTCTTTCCAAATTAACTCCGAACTTCTCGAAATTTAATTCTGACCACACATACAAGTCATAATACCTGAAATGAAGCTACTCATGGCCTCAAATCTCCGAAAGACGTGCTAGAGATAAAAACGACCAGTCGGGTCGTTACATTCTTTCCCTCTTAAATATACGTTCGTCCTCGAATATGCTAAGAACTGCTCTGGAGTTGTCCGAACTTACTATTTAACACCTTATGTACCTACCCTTGCTACCACAACCCAGTTGAGCACATTAGCTCGAGCCAATATGAAGATCCTCCATTTATTTAGTCAAATAAGCCTTAGAGTCAAATTCCAACATCCGAAATTTTCCAGCAGGCATGCTTTCTATTTACGAACACCGTATCAGCTACAAATTGTACCAAAACATGATTGCATACTTTTGCTGAATTCACACCATGCACCGCATAACTCACGTGTCCATAATATCATTCTCTGATAACAATAACCGAAATTCCACGAATCTAATGCCTACAACACACCTCATGACACATATAAGTCATGTTTCAACTCTTGCAATACTGCCACGACGGAAGAGGTATGTAGAAGTTCATAACCACCTAAATCAACAAATCGTTAAGTCTCTTCTCCTGACAAGAACCATTACCTTATTCTGAACTACATAACAATTTTTGCTCTTTAATATGCCTTCTATAAATCCGATCGCACTGATACTAGGTCCAATAATCTCGTCTCCCCCGGTACAAGCTGCTCAAGCAATAAGCCACCCCAGACACTGACAAAAGTCTCATATGATGCCACAATGTGCCAACAAACTACAAACTCGAAGGTGATACGTAAGGAAACGAACTCTGGAAAGAACCACTCAGCCCACGTAACTATTTAAACAATCGAAGGATGTTATGAACCTTCCTGAGAAAATGTGAAACAAACAAACAAGAATAGATATGGGGGAACTGTACTCAATATCACACTGTTGCGACGCGCAACCCGATCTAATCAACATACCCGTGGCAGCGTGCCACCCAATCCACACATAATAATCTATAAGGAAATACTTACCAAGCTAGAATACTCATACCTAGGAAATGCCCGAATGTCAACCACAAGCACGCCAAGTGTGTAATACCATTCCTGGGAAGACAGATAGCGCCATATGTTACAAAACTCAAGCATGACTAAGGTGCAATAAATGACCTACATCTCGAGAGCCATCCTGCTCATATAACACTGCAAGCTACACGGGACCACAACACATGTGCAAACAATCAAGCCGTCTCACAAC